TGAAAACCCTTGCCAAGAAAACTGCAAGGACTTGTCCAGGCAGTCTCCAAGAATCAGACACAATTGAATGGATTAAAAAAAAAATTATTGGGATTATGATTATCTTACTTACAGACAATTCACTGTGTGTTATGTGGTTGTAAGAGACCATGAATCTAAAAGATGTGGCAGCATATACATTTAAGAACAAATGGAAAGCAAACTGTTTACTTTCTTTCTGAGTATTCTGTCTAATCCCTCCCCCACATTACTTGAGGTAAGTTCTTTATCAAAAAAAATCTCCATCTACATTAGGAGAACAGCAACTGAAATTAAAGTAAGTAATATGTGAAAGTTACCTGCAGTGCCTCAAAGAGATCATACATGTTCACTGGGGGCAGAGTTGCTGGTGAGGTGTCCCCAGAACAGGCCAAAAGGAGGGCTGCTTGCTGTTCTGCATCATCAGGTGGTAGATGGGAAGCAAGGTTTTGACCAGCTGGGGGAGCCAAGCAGGTAGGAGGACTGAGAAAAAGAACAAGTTGGGGGAAAATGAATCTGGCATCCTATTATGGGAAAAGGAAGAGTCCAGTTTTATCCTTCTTCCTAGTGCTGGCTCAGATTCTGTCCTGAATACCAGAATAGCCCCCAACAGGCCACTTGAAGGTCATGTGCAACTTCTGGTTTGAAAAATGTTGTATAACATTAAGCTAGATTTGGATAAAAAATAAAACTTTGGGCATTCAGTAATATTATTTTTCAACAAAATCTAAAGTGAAAATTGTGCACAAGATGAAAATATTTACTTATTTGCTATCATTTATACTCCACCCAGTTCCACAGATTCCTGGGAGCTAACATCCAAATAAAAGTAATAAAATCATCATAACAGTATGAAGGTTAGAGACAGTCCATGTTGTGGATCTTTATGTATATCCATGCACAAAGCCAAATGACCTAAAATAGATAATACAAAAATAAAAAGGTAGGAAAAATAATACTGAACTCTGTAGAGGCACAACTTTTCTTCATGATTATATAATTCAGCAATATGTAAAATGTGATAATACTTGGCTCAAGAGCAGGGATGTATAACAAAAACTTTACAGACCCAACAACAAAGAGCAACCATAACATTTAATAAATAAAATATGGCAGCAGAACTAGACCTAAATCTATGGTTCAGCTTTTATATCACCTGCATGACCATTTGTTTCCTAATAAGCACAGTCCCAGAAATTTTGCTATCTTATAAGTAATGTCTGGATTGGATAATAAAACTCATACCAATCTGGCTAGCCTCTCAATTTGTTAAACCTTTGAATATTACGACAATGTAGACATTACTGTTAAAAAGTAAGTTTCATATTCTCAAATTCTCTCCTGTGCTGCATTAATATTAGGCAAATCCTTACCACTCAGTTAAGTTATTGTAAGCAATGACGCTATTCTTCAGATACGGTTGTGGATTGACATTGCTTCCAAAGGCATATTTGAAGTGACCGTCCCTCACACGGTAAGCCTTTCTCCTTGATATTACAGAGGTTAGGATATCCTTAAGATGCTTCTGCAGAGAAAGAAATGTCTATTTATTGCTTGCAAAAAGTCCCCCAAAGTATACAATGTTGCCAAGCATATTATCCAAAACCTGCATGGTGAAGACTGCAACATAAAGGCCATTGCCTGGATTCTCTCCTCTCCTCTTGCTTCTGGGTCCCATTGATCTATTATGGTTGCTTCTGGAATCCTTGCCTATCCTCAAGTACACTTCCACTGCCGAAGCCCTTACTTGGATGATGGCTTACTCTCGTTTGACCTCAGGACTCCGATCCTGTTATCCCATGGACCTATGAGGCTCAGCTATACATAAGATATTCACGTTGACGTGAAAATATAAATTCCGCATCCAAGAAGCTAATAGAAGAAGATGCAAAGAAACTAAATATTCAAATAGTATTTGTGAATTAAACTGGTCTGAATCCTGAATCTGTGTTTTTTGCAGATTTTATTTATTTGTAACAAGCCTACATTGGCAAGGCAAATAATTTAGCAAGGGGTATGTTGTCAGAGATTGTAAGAGTCAGAATTACTAAGCCCTGCAACTAGAAACAAGTGAGACATCACAGGATGGCCACATCTCTTTATTCCTATTTGTCTCCTTCAAGAATAAAGGAAGAGAGGAGGCATCAAGGTTCTGATCTGAACATCAAGAGGCGCTGAACCAACAACAGAGTCTCTCATCTCCTTTTTAGCCTCTTGCCTGGCTCATTTCCAGAAGTGCTTGAAGCAATTTTCCAGAATTATTCATTCTGATGTAAAACTTAGATGGGTCCCCTTCAAACTGTTCGTTTTATACATGAATAAAAAAGACAGATGAGCAACCCAAATGTTGGTACCATCACATAACATTTATCCAGATTTTGAATTCTGCAGATTCTTGCTATAAACTAGGAAGAGTCCTTAGAAAAGTCCACATGAGGCAACTGTCCTTCTCTAAGACTCTGAGTTGTAAATAAGAGGAAACAAAACAGAAGATAAAGGAGCCATAGTGGACAAGAAAATATCAATTTATAACATAGATCCCAGTTAATCTTCAGATAAAGCACAAAGTGATAAAAACAAAAGCTTTCTTTAAAAGCAAAAACAAAGTTCCCCAAGAAAACAGGCAAATCAAACTTACATTAGCCCATACTTGGTTTTATTTTGTTCCTTAAATAGCACAATTTAAGTTTAAATTTAAGCACAAAACTTACAAGAAAGTATGCTATCTTAGCCATATGTGGAGAAATAATTCCCCAAATTAATATTCTATGTGCTAACCCAGAGAAAGTAGTTTTCATAGATTTGCTTTCTTGTAATATGATGTCCTTTTTGCTCCTATTTCTAGAAAGACAGCTAATCAATGCTGAACTTCGCATCATTCTTCATCATACACAAGGTATCTGAGTTTTTTTGTTATATTACAGAGGAGAACCAGGACTAAAATTATTATTCTGTGTAATCTCACCTCTACGGCATAGACAACAACTGTAACTGCTTCTTCGGTGACATTATCCAGGCCATGCTCATAAGCAGTTACAATCATCCTTCCCTCCAGCTGGCCCCAAGTGGGAAGCATCATTGTGTGTGAACAAAGCTTCAGGTCATCATCTTCTTGGGGATCTTTGGCCACAAACTGCTGAGCTCCAGATAAGGGATTCTGGGGCTGGAACCGGTGCTGTAAAATAGAACATGATTCCATTATCTAGACAACAACATTTAAAGAGTCAAAATGTTGTGTCATTTGCATGTACCAATTATCACATAGCTATGACTTAAGGTAAAGAAAAATGTTTTTATATCATCTTTCATTTAGCAGCCTCCTAAAGACCCTCCCCCTCCACACAAACACTAATTTGGATTAGGCAGATTTTTTTTTGTTTCCACTAAAAAAACTGAAATGAACATTAAAAATCCAGTTTCCTGATGAACTCTTTTTTTAAAAAAAGATGAAGTTTCTACCCTTTATGACAATGATTTAAATGCCTAGAAACCAACCAGAGCGATAGCAGAAATAATCTAAATCATTATGAATACTACTTCAGTACCCAATTCCTTTTCCCTACCCCCTCAACTAGAAAAACTGAAATAATTTCTATACAATTGTACAAATACAGAGAAATGCATACAGAATATTTACCATATTTGGGCCTTTTGGCCACAAATAAATTAATAATAATAATACATATATTTACCAAATGCATACAGGATGTGGATGCTGCTTTTTCTACACACTTCCTGACACATACATTTCATGTAGCTCTCTGATATACTGATTTTTTTTTTAATGATGGTTGGAAGCAGGCAGGAGACAGAGAAGATGCCCATTTGTAATGAGCTCTTCCTTCCACTGGGTCTGCCCCACCCAGCCAAGACAACTCATGGTGATGCAGCAATTCTTGCCTTCAGCCATCAACTTCTTTTCCACCCCTGAATAGGAGCAAAGCCAAGAGGAAGAAAAGGGCTTCCTCCTTGCTGAGAAAGACAAGGCCGCCTTATATCAGTATCTGGTAGTCAACTGGAGACCCCTAGATCTTCTGTGGCATGCCACCAGATCACAGCCCACAGGCCTCCACCCCCAGACACAACTGGTTACCTGTCTGAAATAGTTCTAGTTTATTAAGAACACACAACAATGAAGAAAATATGGATGGTTGTTAGGCTTAGAGAAAAAGATTCAAAAGAGGCAAGGGAAGCAAAGGAACCATGGGTAGACAATTAGGCCTGAGGAAAGAAAACCAGGAAACTTGCCTTGAGTGTATACAAAATAACCCTGCTGCCATGTCCTCCCTAGTTATTTCCTGCAACCTGAAGTCTGTATAAGTGATTCCTTCTTGTGCCTTGCAAGAATTCACCAGGGAAAGTGGGTATATGTGTGCATGCTTAGATCCCTTTCCTTCCTTCTCTACAGCCAGCTGCCGTTCTGGGGGGAGATTCAAAAGGAAAGCCTCCAGCACACTCTTCTCTCCCTATTTTACCTCAATGGGAGAGAAGTTGTCTACACTCAGAAATTTAGCCAAACAACCATCATAAGTTCCCCTTATTAGGGATAGAAGGGCTTAGTCAATGGGTTAATTGTGTGCTATTTCTGTTCTGAGTTCTCTAGAGGCTTGCACTGTTCTCACCAAAGTGAAGGTCCCTGTGCTTTTGATTTACACAAGGGTGTTATCTAAATTAGACAACAAGCAGTTTTGAAGTGGATCAAAGTGACTAGATAACCTCTCTAGAGCTATATAACAAACAAACAAACATAAAAAGGAGGGCAGGGAGGGGATAAAAGCTTACTGTTTTGTCCATCAGCCTCAGCAGTGGCAGAATCTGACCAACCTTGGCTGATCTGAGAAGGCAATGGCAAGCCACATCCATATTACTGCCATCCCCCAATGGACAAGTCTATGCAGTCACTAAGAGTCAAGCTTGACTCAAGAGACCCATTTTCTTTTTCTTACCTGCCCACTTAGAGACAGTAGGCCTCCCTTGCTGCATTCCTCAGCAGCCCCAATTTTAAAGTGCACTGCCCATTACAGTGTCTTAACTGCTATCTATGGTTTCCAGCCTGGATCTGAAAAAATGAAGGGAATTCATTCAACTCTATCCTAAGTTCTGGAAGACATTATTCATTGCCTAATCAAGATAAACTATGATGGAAAAAAACTGGAGCTTTGGAGCAACAATACTTTTGTGCTGGAATTCCCAGCTCAAAATTACCTTCTAGCTCTCAACACATTTTACTTAAAAGCATTTGAAAGTTTTAGCTGGAATTCACTTTAATTTTTGCAATATTAGTACTTGTTAGACTGATCTATCTGTTCCCACTATAGCTACAATTTTTTGTTAATTATATTGCCATTCATTTAATTTATATGCTGTCATGAGTATTTGCATGGGATAAAACAAGCCTCAGTTTTTATGCCATCTTCATTTCTTACCTTTTTTATTTATTACCATTCAGATCCTTGTAAAAGTCTTTCATATTTCTTGGAAAGTCTTCTTTCAGTGAATTACATTAAACAAGAGAAATAAAAGAATGCAAATGGTTTTGGTTGTCTTCCAACCTAGGGCAACGCTGCATGTGTGCCATGTGGCTGTTGCCCAAATTAGAAGCAGTGTGCTGAGTTATCCCTTTCTGCTTTCTAACCTCATTTTAAACTAAGCGCTTTCACATACCCTGCTCTGTGTTACTGATGGGGGAAAACTGCAAAGTGTAACAAATGCTGATGGGTGTACTAGGTGTTCTGGAGGGGAAATGAGGATCTTGAAATGGAACTGCTGTGTGTTTCCAATTCTCATAAGAGAAACTTACATCAAACTTCTGCCGAACAGAAGAAAACTTTTTCTTCCCTTTTGGCTTGCCAGGTTTTGGTGCAGAACCTCCTGTCCAAGGCAGGGAGCCAGCACCTTCTGAAAATAGGAAAGAGCAAAACACAAAGCTTTATAATTAGCACATTAGCAAATCATGCCCTCCCCAATTTAACTACAGTGGGGCAAAGAAGTATTTAGTCATCCACCAATTGTGCAAGTTCTCCCACTTAAAAAGATGAGAGAGGCCTGTAATTTTCATCATAGGTATACCTCAACTATGAGACCAAATACTTATTTTCCACCATGATTTGCAAATAAATTCTTTAAAAATCAGACAGTGTGATTTTCTGGATTTCCCCCCCCCCCTTTTTGCTTTCATAGTTGAGGTATACCTATGATGAAAATTACAGGCCCCAAATACTTATTTTCCACCATGATTTGCAAATAAATTCTTTAAAAATCAGACAGTGTGATTTTCTGGATTTCCCCCCCCCCCTTTTTGCTTTCATAGTTGAGGTATACCTATGATGAAAATTACAGGCCCCAAATACTTATTTTCCACCATGATTTGCAAATAAATTCTTTAAAAATCAGACAGTGTGATTTTCTGGATTTCCCCCCCCCCCTTTTTGCTTTCATAGTTGAGGTATACCTATGATGAAAATTACAGGCCCCAAATACTTATTTTCCACCATGATTTGCAAATAAATTCTTTAAAAATCAGACAGTGTGATTTTCTGGATTTCCCCCCCCCCCTTTTTGCTTTCATAGTTGAGGTATACCTATGATGAAAATTACAGGCCCCAAATACTTATTTTCCACCATGATTTGCAAATAAATTCTTTAAAAATCAGACAGTGTGATTTTCTGGATTTCCCCCCCCCCCTTTTTGCTTTCATAGTTGAGGTATACCTATGATGAAAATTACAGGCCCCAAATACTTATTTTCCACCATGATTTGCAAATAAATTCTTTAAAAATCAGACAGTGTGATTTTCTGGATTTCCCCCCCCCCCTTTTTGCTTTCATAGTTGAGGTATACCTATGATGAAAATTACAGGCCCCAAATACTTATTTTCCACCATGATTTGCAAATAAATTCTTTAAAAATCAGACAGTGTGATTTTCTGGATTTCCCCCCCCCCCTTTTTGCTTTCATAGTTGAGGTATACCTATGATGAAAATTACAGGCCCCAAATACTTATTTTCCACCATGATTTGCAAATAAATTCTTTAAAAATCAGACAGTGTGATTTTCTGGATTTCCCCCCCCCCCTTTTTGCTTTCATAGTTGAGGTATACCTATGATGAAAATTACAGGCCTCTCTCATCTTTTTAAGTGGGAGAACTTGCACAATTGGTGGCTGACTAAATACTTTTTTGCCCCACTGTATATCTTGGCTGTTGCCATTTCACAGGCCATCCCTCTTAATCATCACCTATCCATTTCTTGTCTCAAGTCTTACTGTCAGTCAGATATTCTCATTTTCATTCCAGACAACTCAACATTTTAAACTGTACTTAGCATGTCATTTTCTATCAGACAGAATTAATGACCAAGTAAAATTTAAAAAATTAGCAGCATAGGTATCTCTCTGAACTACAGTCATGTCTTTGAGACTGCATTCTTCTTCAGTAGACTTTTAAAATGTGTTCAAATTACTTGTATCAGTGGGACTGGTAACTGATTATAATACACGCACACACAAATAGCAATTTTAAAACAGCCTTTCTTGATTTGATACACTTTTTCTTCTGGGCAGATAATGATCATAAGGTTTGAGAAACAGTAGATTTTCATTCATAAGAAAGCCAGTATGGTATAGCAATTAAGATGTTGGACTGGCACTAGAGAGAGCCAAGTTCTAGTCTACCCTCAGACATCGAAGCTCACTGGGTGGCTTTGGGCCAGTCACTCTCTCAGCCTGGCCTACCTCACAGGGGTGTTGTTGGCTGCCTTGAGCTATATATGCCACTTTGATCTCCTGAACAAAAAAGGAGGATATAAAAGAATTTAGCTAACTAACAATTAATGAAATGCAGTAAGGCAATTCATTAATAAGTCGAATTACAAATAAGAGCAGGTTCAGATTATCTAGCAGAAAGCTTGGAAAACGATCACCATAACTAACAACAATCCTCCTTCCTCTTTGAATGTAATACTGCTGATAATGTACATTAAGCCATAGCCAATCTTTAGCAAAGATATGCATCTGATGAAAGTCCGAGGTCCAGCAGTAACACAGAGTAAGGCTTACAGTCTGCCTTCTTTTGGACTGCACTGCTTCCTAGACAAGGAAAGCAGACAACACAGATTTCTTACTTGTTCATAAAGTATAAAGAACTAAGGGAAAGCAATGAGGGAGCCATGTTTGAAGCAAGCACATTATTTCAGGTGGCTAAAATAAAAGCAAAGAATTCCAAAAGAATCAATAAAATAAAGTTGCAAACATCTTTATATAAATCTATGATGTGACAGCACTGAAATACTATGCACAATTCAGGTGATTAACCTTCTAAAAAATATGAAGTACAACTAAACATTAAGTACAACTCAAAGAATAAAGGGAAATTCCCTATGAGGAAATGCTGGGTTTTTTTTTTAGCTTCGAGCAGGGCTTCCCAAACTTTATTTTAATATACAGCAAAATTTTAATAACTATTATTATTCTTAATCCAATATACAGGCATGCTTCTATATTAATTAATACAATACTATATCATATTACACAAGTCTTAATAAAGATGTCCTGATGTCTGATGCAAGTATGTAATTCACAGCATTTGTGTGATGATGCCTATTCTCCATGCATTAATTCCAAGCCCCAACGTTTTGGCCAAATAAAAGGAAAAATACATCTCCAGACTGCCAGTTTGGTAACTTTAATAATCTCATAAAGAAAAGGAGAATGGGGAGAGAGGTGGGAGAGAGAGGCGGGAGGGAGGGAGAAGTGAGAAATGCCAGTCTGATTTTCATTTGTATTCTCTAGTGCTATACAATTTATCACCTGTTTCTTTCCACTCTTCTGCAGATTGATTCAACCAAGCCTGCCTACCTAGCTGCTGTCACGTAGTCACTGTGTGTTTATTAAAAGACTGCAGTTTTTAATAAACTGCAGGGACTTTTGAGTTTTCATTTATTCTTGTCTATTCACCTTCACTGTTAAGGGTTTTCCACACAGCGTATGAAACCTGTTCACAACTTTTTACACACACACACATATACAATATTAAAGAGAGAGTGAGTAAGTAAATGATTAAAATGTAATGGTGGTGAGGGGAACATTGGTCAATGGGGATAGTTAAGAATTAAAGAAACAGAAGAAAGAAAAGAGACAACGGTAGACTGTGAATTATATCTGAAGTAGGTATTATTGATACTTCACTTAAATATTTGTTCTAGGTATAAGTTTTTGAGACGATCCCTGAAAAACATGTCTGTTTAGTACTTGTATGGGAATTCTTGTATGGCAGAATTTTAGACTAGCCTGGAAAAATGAAAAACATCCCAGATGAAGGCACTGGCAAACCATTTTCATACTGTTGCCATGCAAAATGGGTTGTTATGTCTATGAAATAATCTGGAATTGAGCTAGACTTGAAGGAGACTTTATTAATTCATTAGATTTACATCCTGCCTACGATAGCCCACAAGAGGCCATACCTCTCTGTGAATCTGCCATGATGGTAGGCCAGACAGCCAAACACTTTGTTCTACTAAGGGCAGAAGTCAGTTTACCGTAGAAAGATTTTCCCACAGGGGAGAGAAAGAGGGCCTGCTGAGGTGGTGTCTTGGAAAACAAACCTCTGGGAAGTAAGAAGAGTACTTTGATGGAGGAAGGTAACAGCCAGCAATCTATGATCTAGACAACACTAGCCATTGAAAATATTATTGCTATAGTACTGAACAATGTTGATTGGTGTACTTAGGCTGGATACAGGTTCGAGGATAGACCACAGTATGACTCTTAAAGTGACCATGAGTAGGAGGACCTGAAGACCTCCTGAGCAACTGGGAACCAGCATGAGACAGAATCTATCGGGGGGGAGGGGAGAGGGGGAGCCAGAAGAAAGAGGAAGACTGTTCTACCAGCCAAAAAAGTACCGCCACCAGCCTCAGAAAGAAAGAAATAAAACCAGCCAATAGGTTTAGCTCTTTCTTATTCTTAACAGAAAACAGCTAGAGGATTCTGAAGTAGAACAGAGTGCATATATGTTAAGCCAACATTACATGCATATATACATACAAGTATGTATACTTACAAAGGTAGAGAACACTGATGTTGCATACTGCTCAATTTAAAAACCCCCAACTTCCAAGGCCTTTTAAAAACTAAGCTGTAGTGAGTTATCAACTGAGCAGAGAATGGAAGGTTATTTAATTGTAAATTTGAGTTGCAAAGCTAGGCTGAGGAAACCAAAAGCAGAAATCTGTGTTGCTTCATGCTCTTTGCTGTGTTAGGTTCCTTTATTTTGGTCAATGATCAGCCTAATACAGTAGCAAAACAAAAACAGCAGGGCAAGCAATAAAACAGCAAATACAAAGCAGAAAATACCAGATCCATGTGAGCGCTTGAATAACATTTGGATATAGTATAACATAGATTATAATATAGCATAATAAAACTAATTATTCTTTAGGTTAAGACGAAAATTCAGAGCTAAAACTAATTACAGTAGAGTCTCGTTTAACCGACCTTCGCTTATCCGACATTCCTTCTTATCCGACGCCCCTAAAAAAAACACAACACGCGTAAATCGGCGATGAGAAAAGTGTGCCGCTTGTTTGCGAGCGTGAGTGTACTTTCTTGTTGCTCCTGACGGGGGCGCCGCAACGCAAAAATCGATTGCAACAGGCGCAGCGGATCGGGTTTTTTTTTTAATTTCTTTTACCGCACTCAATCGTTACTGTGTGTTATCCGACATTTTCGGTTATCCGACGTTCTGCCGGCCCGTTTATGTCGGATAAGCGAGACTCTACTGTAATTTGAGCCTGTCAACAAAGAGGGGAAGAATGATTACTGCATATATGAAGCTGAGAAATTAATTATAGCAGTTTTAAGCAGAGGGAGAGAGTTCAACACTGTTGATGGCAGTAATATGGTAATAAATAAAAGACAGAACATTTTTCAGTGTGTTTACCCAAATCCAAGGTTTGATGTTTTAATAAAACAGGAGAAAAATGCATCAAGAGGTATTCTGCTCTGTGTTGTTCATCAAATCCTGAGAACACACAGAACACCCATGACATTCAGGAATTCAAAGTAGTGTACATAAATCTCCCTCCCCACATTTTTCCCAATAACGACCCTGTGAGGTAGGTTGGGCTAAGAGCAAAGACTTCCAGTGACCTCCTACTGTGAATGGATAGAGCCAAAGCCTCCCCATTCCAACCACTACACTGGCTCTCATCTGATTTGGATACCTTCAAAGATCGTTATGCCTTACACTGTGTTGCTATTTATTCATCACATCTATAGAGTACCTAACTTTTGTCTAACAGCTCAAGGTCCCATATATTGGAGTATCTCCCCTTTTTATCCCCAGAAAAATACTAAGAGTTAAGTTAGTTTGACAGGTGGCCCAGAGTCACCCAGTGAGCTCTGTAGGCAACTGAAGGCTGGAAAACCAAGCCTCTTGATCTAAATCCAACCTATGATTATTTTGCTTAACTTGGCACAGTGATTCAGAGAAATCTTTCTCAAGTAGTAAGTTAAAGTTTATTTCCAATTTTGGCACAAATGCAATAAGAACTACAGAGATGTTCTAGAATTCTGATAATTACCTGGGGCAAGATAAATGCAATTAAAATGAATTTAATTTAATATGATTTATATTTTAAGAGGCCTTCCTCTTTCATTTCTTCACACTAAGTGGATCAACAAAATTTTAAGCAATTTCTTTGGCCAGATCATCCTTTGAGATTTTCATTGCTACATAATAATTGCCTATTGGGAAAGGTAGTTTTAATTTTCTATGCTTTCAAACTTATCAATGGGAGTTTAATTTGGCTTCAGTTATAGGTTGATATAAGGACTTTCAGATTGCAGCTCCTCTTAGGGTTTCATTTTACCCCAATGAAATCTTGACAGGTATGTGGTTCCTTGTTTATTCAATATCTGGGCTCATAGGTATGTCACAGATATAATTGTATAGTTTTGACTCTTTTACCCAGTAAAAGTTTGCATTGTGTAACAGTCTCTCATAACGTTATCTGCAATTAGAATAGCTCTACTGATTCAGCTTTCAGAACTCCTGTAGAACTTAAAATTATATTTACTTCAGAGGGTTTCTTTGTAACTTACTTAAACATTTATTTGCTACTGCTACCTCCAATGTTCTGTATTTGTTAGTCTTGGAAAAATTAAATCCCCCCATCAATATCTTAATCTCTAGATATATCATAATGAAATTAATTTAAAATCAGAAGGGAGGGGAAAAAAAGCAGAGTCATGAGTGAGATTTCTCCTTCCAAGATTGAGCAATCAGGAAACCAGCAATCATACTTTTAAGTAACAATATACTCCCTATTTGCTAATTCAATTAGTCAGTGAGTCCACAAAAGCTAAATAACCCTGAATAAACTGTCTTTATCATTTGTTCTTGGCAAAGGCAAAGATCTGTATAGAGGGATAGTATCAGAACAGATATTTGAAAAAAAAAAAAAGGTCAAGGGACAGCAAAGTACCTTGCAGGCTCCAGACATATTCATGTACGATTTCCTTAAATAAATTTTATGGCTCATAGTTGCAGTGATAAACTTGAAAAAATAACGGCAATGTCACTGAAAGCCTCAATAAGATGCATGTGAATTGCAACAGCCTTGTATGCACTGTATCTTCAAATATTTACACTGCAGATTGCAATTTTTATTGTTATGGAGTTAGAGGCTTATCCCATGCCTAAGATGGAGGCAGAAGGTTTAGAGATGCCAAAATTGGAGGGTAGCAATGGGGAACCTCTACATGCAAAGCAGGTCTTTAACCACAATACTGCTTTCTCTTCCAGTATTTAATGAAGAATATTACAATTTGGCTGTATAAAAACATCATTTACTCCAGGTAATTACAACCGAGCCACAATTACAACAGTTTATCTGTATTTCTAGGGCAAAATAATGCTATTCATACCCAAAAACCATATTCACCCTCTCAGATCCAATAGCTTAATTTTCATTTTTGAAAAAAATTACATTTATTTTTTTGGGGGGGTCTCCTTTTAAGGGTGAAGTATACTGTCTGTCTGCAGTCTATTCTTTATAGGTTGTATCAAATTTTCCTACTGGAGAAATAGTGAGCTGTCCATTGTGAACCACACTGGAACAAAAACTGCACACTGCCAAGGGATAAGATTGATGATTAGGTGGCTAGTATAAGTAGAGAAATCCATGCTTCCTCAGGCAACTTTAATGCTTTTCCCACTGAGAGAATCTCACAAATTGTTATACCAAATTGAAACAGCACCCACTGGAGTCAAAAGAAAATCCTAGACATCAACTGTTTCCTTATTCCAGAAGATACTAATTAATTAATTAGCCATTCAGGACACAAACTTAGGTGTTTAGCAGCCCGTGAAAAGAACCACAGTTAGATGTGTGGCAGACGTAGGAAATTTATGTTACATGCCTTTTCACCAAAAATGAACAGCAAAGTTTAACAATAAAGGAATGATACATGAATAACAGTTTTATTTCAGAATCACTAGATACCTCATTCTCCATCACTATTATACTCTTCTATGGGAAATAATCCAATATATTATTTCGCATTAGTTTTAACACAATAAATTATCACAATTCTAATCAAAATATTAGAATAATATAACACAAGTCAGAGGTCTGTTTATCAGGAGATTATCCTAGGAAAGCATAAAGATTTATATGGTTGGCTCTTTAGGCAAACCAAACTCAGTATATGAATACTTCTGGCCCTTTTAGTTTTTTAAAAAATTAAATATAATATTGAGTTGCTTTGCTTTAAAATATTTTCATTCATTCATAAGAGGCTTCTCAGGTTTTCATGACTGATGACTTATATCCTGCCTTTCCCCCATGATCTCAGGGCAGCATACAAAACATTCCTTTTTTCAATTTTTCTCCCCACCAAACCTGTGAGGTAGGTGCGCTGAAAGAGAGTGACTGGGCCACAGTGAGCTCCTTTGGCTGAGGATGGATTTGACTCTGGGTCCTTTCAGTCCTATGCCAATATCTTAATCAATACAGCAAAACTGGCTCTGAATAATTATACAATTCTGCACATACTCTACAGCAGGCTGGCAACTTTAGCATGACCAGGGGTTCATCTGACATTTGTGAGAAGGGGCTGCAGATGAAGATCCAAATCCATAAGTTACTGTGACTAGTATAGGACTAAGCTAACTTACCCAATCTCTTCTAAATTACTACTTTTCAAGTTTGCCAGAACATTTTTGAAAATGCTTTTTTCCTCCCAGTTTTTATATAGTTCCTCCCAGATCATATATAGTATTATATTCTTTAGGAATATTCTGAATATTCCTCATGGTCATTCTTTGTAAGACAACCTTAAAATGAAGTATTTGACCTTCTTACCTGCTAGCTATTTTATGATACCTTCAGAGACCTAAGATAAGATATTATTTGCAACATTATCCTTTCGTTAATCTGGCTACTGGGCTTATCAAAGTCTCTTTGGGTTTCTCAAAACTATGTATTTTCTTATGTTGGTTCTGAACTGCAACCTGGATATATCTTTTTATTTTGGTATGCTTCTAAAATGCTTCTAGTTACAGCATTTCTGTTTTAGGGTTATAGCTAACTTTTACCTGTTGTTGATTTTTAACATAAGGTTTATTATTTTGAAGTTTATTGTTATTTACATTTAAGCTGATTACTAGAAGTCATATTGGGAAGGGTTTTGCTCTAAGAGGACATAAACATTCTAAATAAACAAATAATTTTCCTAGGATAACTGGATAATTAAGCTTTGCTTTGTGGAGGCTGTATTGCAAATTCTCAGGAATAAGAACTGCTTTTCTTGTTCCTAAATGCATTGCTCTGATGTCCCTATGCATCTCCTGCAAAGTATCTGTTCACCACATACAGACACCAAGATTAGTATGTTGTGCGCAACTATATGAACATTATCTGCATCAAATCATTAGCACCACACTGAAACTCTTTCTATGGGAATCATATCATCTCAATGTTCTACATGGAAGCTTCTGACCCTGGATTACACGTGCCTGTGATACAAGAGGCAAAAAACCCTAATCCAGGCAGCCTGCTTTAGTTGTGTACAAAAGAAGGTGTAGCATGGGTTGGGCAATGTCACTTTGGTACGGTATGCCCACTGTTACCTTCCACCTAGAGCTAATATGGGTGTGTCAGCTACACTAGTAACTGACAAAGCAATTTCAAGGGACTCTGTCAAGCTGGCAGTGTTATTATGTAGAAACTATGCAGGTACGCCTTCCTTTTTTCTATATGTCCTCATACTAGCGAGTCTTGTGATTTTTTAAAATTTGGTCTGGGTCTCATGCTAGAGGCCTCAAGACCACTTCCCCTGAAGTGGGGACTTATATACAATCATGTGAAAAAGTAAGTACACCCCATGCAATTTTTTTTCTTTTTAATATATGTGGACATATCAGTATTTTATCTTCATTCAAACAGTATATAAATATAATTAATTGAACAAAAACTATGAAAATTAATTTTCAATCATTTATTCAATAAAAATAAACAGGTATGCCATTTCCTTCCATGGAAAAAATAAATACACCCTTGGCTCTAATAACTGGTTTTGCTCCGTTTGGCAGAAATAACCTCAAGTAGCCCTTTCTTGTAACTGTCTACCAGTCTCTGACATTGACTGGGAGGAATTTTTTCCCACTCCTCCATGCAGAATTTTTTCAGCTGTGTGATGTTTGAGGGGTTTCTTGCGTGCACAGCCCATTTCAAATCACCCCACAGAAACTCAATGGGATTTGGATCCAGGCTTTAACTTGGCCATTCCAGAACCTTCCATTTCTTTTTTTCCTTGGTGGATTTACCAGAATGTTGAGGGTCATTGCCATCTTGCAAGGTCCACTTTCCACTATCCGCTAGCATCCGCTGGTACAATGAAGAATTTGTAGAAGAAAATAATTCTATAGTATTGGACCACAGACACTGGGCAGAAAAGCTAGACTAGACATTAGGAATAATATTAAGGAAAATACTTATGGAATTCACTCTAAGACGCAATTAATTTTGATTTCTGTTGACAGCGCTTATGGGAAAGTGATTCTCAGAATTGCTAACAGTTATCATTTATGGTACTACAAAAATAAAATGAAATGGCAGCTTCCAGTCATCTTCCTGGCCCTGCCAAGAAATCCCCCTTGTATATGGATCAGAAACTTGGCTGAACAACTTTTTTCTAGTTAATACCGCTAGTTAGGGCACCCTCTTTACAGTGTGCCTAAGACCTAATTTACTTCAGTTGTATTCTCTACTGCTCTCTTCAACAACAGACTTGACTTTGGCTTAGTGTGTTGTGTGAACACAACCAACTGTGGTTTATTCAATCAATGATAGACTAGGATGGAATGGGTATCTGCTATGGAAGAGGTGTAGGCTGTGTTCATAGTTAATAATTGTTTCCTCTGCTGGTATGGCTGTCTTTTACTAATGGCTTTAATCTATTGTTTTTGCTTTAATCCTCGTAAGCCTCTCAGAGTCATCAATAAGTGTCCAGCCTTGGAAATTTAAATTATAAATAAATAAGCCCACCATGGTTAAATAATGTGATGTATGAACAGAGCCACTCAATTATGATGATTCTATGATGGTGAGCTGCCCAGGCCCTGATGCAGCAAAGCAGCCCCAAACCATAACATTTCCACCACCATGTTTTACAGCTGGTATCAGGTTCTTCAGGTGAAATGCTGACTTTGGTTTTTGCCAAACATGTCTTCTGGAACTATTGTCAAATAACTCTAACACCAAAGACTCCATAATCAAGCAGAAAACAATATTCTAATCAAGGAACTACCAAGGAGAAAACCACACCCCCACCAACACGGGCAGGGCAAGCTACTGTATATGAATAGGAAGCAAACCCCACACTCACTAGCACTGATGATGTTACCTAGTCAGGTAATGAAATGCCTGCAATCAAACAACCAAGCTGAGACAGCACTAAAGACTCCACAGTTCAACCCTGACCTACATATATTGTCCTCTATTGGTAACTCTAACTTTGCCTCATCTGTCCAGAGCACATTGTTCCAGAAGTCCTGCTCTTTGCCTGGGTGTTCATGAGCAAACATTAAATTTTCCCTGATATTCTTTCTGGACAGCAAAGGTTTCTTCCTGGTACACCTCCTATGTAGATCTAATTTGCACTGCTTCTTTCTAATGGTAGACTCATGCATTTTGACATTAATAGTTGCGAGAGCTACCTGTAGGTCATGTGATGAGATTCCGGGGTTCTTAGAGACTCCTTTCAGCCTGGGCAAGTTGGCAGTTGCTTGAAATCTTCTCCACTTGTAGATGATCTTCCAGGCAGTGGAATAATTGATGTCCAACCGTTTGGCAATCTTTTAAAATCCCTTCCCAGACTCAAAGGCATCTATAACCTTCTTTCTGAAGACCTTAGAGAGCTTTTTCGAGCTAGGCATGGTAATACCATACCCTTCAAAAACAAAGAGCAAATCAAACTAAATGTCTGAGATTTAAATAAAACAGGTTCCTCCCAGATCTTCTTTAACCATGTTCTAATCATCTGCATCTAATATGGTGCACCTGATTCTAATTTTAGGTATTTGAGGTAGTGATAAATGTAGGGGTATACTTATTTTTTCCATATGCAAAATTTGCATTTATGTTTATTTAAATTACATAACGGACTACAAAATATACATAGTGTATGACATTTGTTAAATTATATTCCCTTTATCTGCCAATCTTGTTGAAATGAAAATCAAATATCTGTATGTTGAAATATGTTGAAAAAGTAAAAAAAATTCAATGGGGTGTACTTACTTTTTCACATGACTGTAACTTTAGATGTTATATTAACTACTGATCAGTAGAAGTGCTATTATGTTTCTGCATAATGTTTATTGGGCTTTTCACTTTGTTTCTGAGAGATCAAAGGAAACAAGATTGTATTTACCTTGTTGAACCTACTAATCAGCTTGTTCACCACATCAAGCAAGACACAATGAATATACTCTATGGCTTCAATCCTTGAACCAGTTCAGTTCTTTTGCTTTAACAGGAGTTCAAGCCAGTAATTTGAAAATAGCTATTGCAACAGATGTGATGGGTAGCCCTCCTAAGTGACTGTACTCACAATGTCCAGAAGTGACAACACTGGAGGAATTGGGGGCTGCAACTCAGTCTTTTCATAGCCTGAGGGCCACTGGAGGGCCACAAAAGGCTCTCCAATGACATGCTCATGTTATCAGAAGGGACAGAGCCAGATTCTTCTGGCCCATCTTTATATTTTGGGGAATTGAGAATGGAAATCAGAGTGGGAGACTTCTAGGATGGAAACTGCTTCCATTCCCACCCTGAGCCCTGTCCAAACCTGAAAAAGAGTCTGAAATTTCTGTTTTAAGGTAATGGGGGGTACATGGGCAGAATTTAGAAGTGAGAATGAGAGCACTATTTGTTCCCATTTCCATCTTAAAATCCAAAATAAATGTAAAAAAATCAACACTGACACTGACCAGTTTCTCGTAAGTGAAAAAGCAGTATAGAGTAAAGCTAAACATCTTAAAATGGCACAGATGGACTTCTTAAAATGTGGACCAATACTTATACAGCATGAAATGAACACTAGAATTACCATACATTTCAGGTGTCTCAATCCAGATGCAAAAGAGACTTTTTCAGTGGCTTACCTGGTGCAGAAACCAAGATTTGGCATCGTGTGAGAATAGCCAACAAGAAGTCATTGTGAAAATGGACTGCCAAAAGCAAAGACATGGTTTGCATTAAGATTATGACAATAATTCTTACTAGGAAGTATATATTTGCATTAACTTCATAAATGTGCACAGAAGATATAATGGTATTCTCTAAGTCCAGAACTAAATATCAGGCTCCTAATTCAAGCAGCCTAAGATTTTCAGCTTTTATCTTCTAAAAATTCTTCATGGGTAAATTTTACACTCTTAATTCTTGTAAAGAGTTAAGTATTATCAAGCACTGATAAAATCTTCAAAACTAAAAGAATGGCCTCATCTGTCCCTACAGTCCACTTTTTTTTAGTAACTAAATATAATTGAAATGCTGTATATTTCAAAGCATTCTAGTTATTCTCTAGAATAGTATACATTTGAAAGTGAAGAATTCAGAAAACTAGCTGAGCAACTCAGAGATTATTTTCATACCATTGTCTTGAGTGAGGAGCCTCCGAGCTTCCAGATCAAATTCTTCTTTGCTGATCTTTTGCTTAAACCATAGTTTCAAATTAGCCCAGTACCTGTGCAAGATATCAACAATGAATTACCAATAATAGATTTATTCTTTTAAAAGTTATCATTTTCCTTTCTGTTTTATGAGAGAGTATCATAGTTTCACAGAATGTAATTACAAGGAAGGCAGTATTTAACAAGTAGGATCTCAATCATAACCAATAGACTTCAGGTTGTGTGTGACTATTCTAGTTCATCTGGCCCTAAGACAGGGATGGGTAACCTTTTGGTGGCCAAGAGTGCACTAAACATGGGGGGGGGGGGGGGGAGAATGATGTGGGTGGGGCTACATCACATATTATAAGTTTGGGTTTAGAGATTTTGGGTTTTTTTTTATGGTGATACACCTATTTTAGTGCTCGCACTATACTTTTTAGCTGTTTCCCACCTTCAGTTAGCCAGAGAGGGCTGTAAAAACTTAGCCAGAGAAGACAGTATAAAGGTCATTTGGAGGGTGCAGATTGCCCAACCTTGTCTTAAGGAAACAAAGTACTATCACCCAAGGTATTCCAGTTGCAGTGCTCAAAAAAACTTACTGGAGTTTATTGCACAGAGAGGCTTTTTTCACTGAGGCCAAATGCAGATTATGTTCTTTATGATTTTACTCTTGGGAATAAATCTCTTGTTGCCTATTCCTAAAATGGAAAAAGTCAGGTATTAAATGAGCATGCACAACCTGGAATTTTTCAGAAGCTTAGCTCTATGTATTTGGAGAACTTGTAGAGAAAGGTATTCTATGCATATGCACTCCAAAATGAATGCGAGCAAGCCTCATCTTCAGAATGCCGAGGATCATATTTGTGCTTGTTTTCCCTGTCATCAGCCCTAGCAGTAACAGGTTGCTTTTAGCCATGACTGAACATCAGCTCAGGAAAAGAATGAGCTTATTGGACAAGACAGAAAAGTGAGGAAAATCATAAAGATTTTCAGGCAACAGTGGAACTATTTCACTGATTTTTTTCTGAGTAAAGAATGAAGCTAAGGGTGAATATTTTCCCAATACATTGTTTTGCTATTCAGAATCCTGAAGTTATCTTATGTGAGTATAAAGCTAAAGTAAAGCTAAATAACCAACAGGGGGAGCTCAAATTCTGTCTTTAAAAATGTCCTGTATCTTTGAAAGAAATTTTATTTTAAAGAAGATTGAGAAGTCTGCGGCAGAAGAAACAACATGTATGACAAAAAAATTCACAAATCACATTTTATCATTAATCTAGGTTTGAGTTTCACATACAAACAACTGAGTAACAATACTGATAAAGTATTTTATTCAAGGAACTTGATTTTCTTGGAATGCTACTGCCCAGATTCCCCTAAAATGAAGCATAAACATGTCATTTCACCAACCTATCTTCATATCAGTAAAACTTTTCAAAATTTTTCTCTGTGAATTTTGAACTGTCATCTGAACCCTACTTCTGGCTAGTCTGCTGCCTGCTGTTCACTTTCTTGGAAATCTTAGTGACTCTCTTGCAGTGCCAATTTAAAAATGAGTGAATGCTTTTCTAATTGCAAAAATCTCAATTTAGATGAACCTATCTATTAATAAAAAGTTGATGGCTTTTACACTGGAACCCTAGGATTGACCAAGATTCTGTTGAGATACACAAAGCCCCTCACGGAGAGGGCACGGAAGAGGGTAATAGTTATGATAATTAAGCCAGTTAGGGTTTGTAATGCAGACCAGCCTTACAAAAAATAATTAAAAGACCATCTAGCTGCCCCACAAATACTTCCATGCCTGCTGGCAACATCTACCTAACATTGCTTTCTCTTCCCTCTACTGTACATAGTTTTCTTCACTCCCTTTATTTATAAGCTACCTAAGACAGTTAAAAATCAGGAGTCTGTCAGCAACTTTTCTGACTCTTTGATTTTTTACCGCCATAGACTAACACAGCTTTAGACGTGTTCTACAATGTCTAAAGCAGTTAAGAAAAATTAAGACAACTAAAACAACAGCAAATTTAAAGACAATATATTTAAAATAAAAGTTAATTGCACCATGATAATATCACTAAAACACTGAATAGGCATCATAACAACAAAATAATACAATGAATCTGACAATTAAGATACTAAGACAAAATACTCTCTACAAAACAGAGATGGGAAACAACAAGTTAGCATCCCAAAAAGAAAAGTTTCATAGCCCAGGGGGCAACCATTAAAAAGGTATACCCCCTCCACTACAGAGGGGAGATTTCTGGTAATGATCTAAGATGGTGCTCATCTTAGAACATTATTGTGTATATGGACCATGTAGGGGAAAGTGATTCTTCAAGGACATTAGGACTTAAAGAGGACTTGAGTGTACTAGTGGATCACAAAGTCAACATGTCCCAACAGTGTAATGCAGCTGCAAAGAAGGCCAACAACATCTTGGAGAGCATCTAGAGGAGCACAGAGTCCACATCGCGAGAAGTAATTATCCTCCTCTACCCTGCCTTGGTCAGGCCCCACTTGGAGTACTGCATTCAGTTTTGCACAGCCCAGTTTAAAAAGGACATTAATAAACTGGAGCAAGTCCAGAGAAGGACTACCAAGATGGTCAAAGGGCTGATAACCAAGTCCTATGAGAAACTGTTAAAAAACTGAGGTATGTTTAGTTTGCAGAAGAGAAGGCTAAGGGGGACATGATAGCTGTCTTCAAATATCTGAAGGTCTATCACATTGTCAAGGGTTCAAACTTATTCTGACTTACTCCAGAAGGTAAGACTAGAACTAATGGGATAAAACTTCAAGGATGTAGATACAGATTAGACATTAGGAAGAACATCTTGACAGTAAGAGCTGTCAATCAGTGGAATAGGTTACTGCATGGAGTGGCTTCTTCCCCTTGACTGGAGCTTTTCAAACAGAGGCTGGATAGTCATCTATTGGGGATGATGTAGTGACAACTGCAGTGTGCGTGGGTTGGACCTGATGAGCTCTTGGGTCACTTCCAACTCTATGATTCTAAAAAGAAGTACTGATACTCAAACAGAGGTTGGAAACAATGCAGATGATAAAGCACTGGAACAGCATGCTCCATATCACTGATTCTGACAAAAGACCTTTGCTGCTATATCACAGATTGATATGGCAGAATATATTTAAAGGCAGTTACAAATAACTGCTTGACTGGAATGCAACCTATCCCCCCTCCCCTGCTCAAACTTTCCAGTTACAAAATCCTTCCTAATGCCCTTGGTTACTATTGCTCTTTTTCAGGACAAGTGAGCATTATTTCCAAAGAATTCAGTGAGATGCAACTGCCAGTAATGTTTATTTTCAAAGAAAATTTACAGAAACCATTTGGTGTTGAACAGCAGTCTTAGAAATAAAAGATGATGCTGACATCTCAAAGCTGCATACCAGTTATTAACTAATATTAATATTTGCAGTATTTAGTTTCTATTTCCATGATCATCTTCACTGTCTTTCTCTAAACTTTTTCCAATTTCTCTGAATCCTTATACTGTTGTGCCCCAAACTAGATACAATGCTTGCAAAATAAGCAGAACTATTATAATTTGGAAATTATATTTCTGTGATGCAGTCTAAAATTTCATTTACTTTTTTGCAGCCATATTACAATTTATATTCAGTTTTCAATCAAATTCTATTGCAAGACCTTTTTCAAAAGTATTATTGTCAAGCCAGGGATTATCCATCCTGTACTACATTTGATTGCTGTTTCTGAAATAAATAAATGTCATTGTTTTTTGTTAAATTTTACTCTTACCCATTTCTCTAACTTATCAAGATTGTTTGAAATTATTCCTGTCTTCAAGGACATTCAGATATCCAATTCCATTTTATGTTAATTGCAAATCTGATAAGCATTCTTCCCCCTCTCCATCACTCAGCTCCAAATCATTAAAAAATGTTGAAGAGTATAGAATTTAGGACTGAACGCATGGCATATTACCTGATACCTCAGTTTAATTTGATGAGAATTCATCAATTTCTGAGCCAATTATATACCCATTATATTGTCATGCTATCCAGCCTACCTTTAACTAGCTTGCTTATTTTTTGTTAAATGCTTTGTTAAAACCGAGATACAGGTAATCCTCTGGTTATGATGGCAATTGGGACAAGAATTTCTGTCGCTAAGCAATGCAGTCGTAAAGCATGATGTCACGTGACCACATTGCTTAGCAATAGCAACCTTGCAGTCCTGGTTGCTGTCGTAATCTCAGGACTGCGCAGGTCATTAAGTGGGAAGAGACAGGAGTCCCAGGCAAGCAGGCCAGTGGGTGCATGAGTGTCGTGGGCAGATGCTCTGGAGCATGGATGGGTGCACAGGTGTGTGCCATGGGCAGGCGCACAGATACCATGGGGGACACTGCGGCCAGGCACTCCAGAACATGGGCAGGTGAAAAAGTGTCAGGAGTGGGAGCAACTTCCAACTTTCTGCTTCCCCATTGACTTTGCTTGTGGGAAGCAGTGATACAGCGACATCATCATCGCAAGCCGGGCACCAAGCGACCAGATCACGATCATGTGACTGTGGGGATGCTGCAACAGCCACAACTTTGTGGACTGGTCTTAAATCCCCCTCATTCAACACCATCATAACTTTGAAGGTCGCTGAATGAGTGGTTGTAACTTGAGAACTACTGCATATATAGTATCCTCAAGATCTATTAAGAAAATTACTGAATTAAAATATGAGATAACCTTTTAAAATGTGTTCTTCACAAATCCATGCTAATGCACTTTTCAAGGAGTTTACAGCTTTAACTGCTTTACAAAATCTTCTAGAAGACTCTTTATAGAATCTTCTAGAAGACTCTAGAATCTTTCTAGGTATCAATGTCAGAGTGACTGTATTACAGCTTTTGGATCCTTCTTTTCTCCCTCTCTGAAGCTAGGAATTCTGTGATTTCTCAAAGATAATATATAAAGGATCAGACTTTCTATCCACTTACCCCACACTGGTTCTCCCAAGTGCCCATTTCCCTAGCTGTTTGTGGGCAGATAAGGAGGATGCTCAGAATGATATTCCTATCTTGGCCTTTGACATATACATAAATATAATTTTATATATATATAATTTTTCCTCTCATAGCACTCTGGTACAATTTTCACATAATTATAGTAGTGAAAAGAGGATACTATATTATCTGGGACACTGTAAAAAAAACAGATCTATTCACTAAGTGAATTAAGACTGCTAAACGGTGATAGGTAATATTACACCTACATTTTAATTCCTTGCATATTTATATCTAGAGCCAATTTGGTGTAGTTTTTAAAGTACCAGGCTAGAAACCAGGAGGCCGTGAGTTCTAGTTCTACCTGGGACATAAAGCCAGCTGGGTGACCTTGGACCAGTCACTTAAAAAGTGGAGGATTAATATTGGCCTACTATTACAAATAGGTGGCCTGTTTATTTTTATATATACACTAAACCAGTGGCTTGTTTGGCCCTGGCCCCCAAAATCAAGCTGCATTAATTTATTGCAGGAAACTAGAGACTTGTGATATTTTAAAAACAGACCCACATACATCTACTCAGAAGTAAACTGCCGAGTTACTTCCAGGGGTATATAGAATTGCTACCTAACAGAATTAGTTGGCACAGTAATTTTTAGGCAGCAATTCTAGATACATTTGTTTTAAAACCTTTAAATTCATATGCACATGACTGTGTATCATTAGTCTCCAAGGATACACAGGATTTTGTTCTGAGAATTTGTGAAACACTTGGGATGGGCTATACAAAACCTGATTAAAATTATGGCCGTGATGGTTTGAATAACTGAAAGCATATTAAAAGTAGGATACTGTAGCTTAATAACTAGTTTCTACTACCTAATGAGCAGCAGAACCTTTCATCCTCCCTGATCAGTATTTCTGAGGAAAAAAACTATTTGTATTTCTGAGCAGGTTGAAATAAGGCCTGGACACTCGGTTCTGAAGAACAATTAAAACGGAAAACAGAAATATATTCTTCAGAAAGGACAATGAGTAAGATCATTCTTTCTCTTCCTCTATGTATTTTATACACGAAGAGGGCTGACTGGGCACCCATTTAAGCTCGAGCTTAAAAAACACCCAATGCAGAGAAAAATCGAGATCGATGCTTTGTCAGGGCCAACTAGGCCTCTGCTGCAAATACGGCCAACGGCGTGACGAAGAAACGACGGGAAAAAAGAAAGGAGCCTGATTATCACTTACTGCTTCACATTTTCGCCCAAAGCTTCGCTCAGGTTTTTCTTGGCCACCTCCAGCTCGCTCACGTAAGTCGCCATGTCAGGCAGAGCTCTTGGCAGCATGCACCCGCCCGCTCCAAGTTTTTTGCCCGCGAGGCTGCATCAACCTCAATAGCAATTCTCACCGCTTAATTTTGTTTCTTTGTTTCGCAGCTCCTGGCCGTACGGCAGCATAATTGGAAAGAGACTTAGCCTGACTCCAAAATGAGTTAAAATTGGATCGTGTGAGTAACTATGCACCAGATCCTATCAGATGCTAACTTGCTTAGAGGAAAAAAGCACTTCATCGCGGGGGCCGTTCAGTCTCTTTATCAATCGGATTGCAGCCACAAACTTTGCTTGACGGCTCACACGGCCCCAGGATTTTTTTAAGAGCGGAGAGACTAGCGGAGGCCAGTGGGACTAAATTCAGGAAGCGTGTGCACGAGTAAGGTTTTCTAAGAAGCTGCTCCACGCTGCTTCATTCATCGCGATCTGAAACCCTTGCCAGCGAGCAGTTTACCCAAGATTTACTTTGAGAAAGGGGGATGCCATGCCACCCCGTCGCCCCCTTCTGTAGCATGACGCTGGTCCCTTTCACGGTTCATTTATTTGTGGGCGGAAACGGAAGTTGTTTGGTTCAAAGCAATTTAAATTGATAGCAATTTTAACTGCAGCCTGACAACTTCTTGAATGGTCAGACCTCCGACGGAACACGTACTCGATTAGGCTGTTGCTTTCACGCTCTGCGCCCTCGCCGGCCTTTAACCATTCCCAGGCTGCCTCACTAGAGACCTTTTCCGGGGTTCAGGCGGCCTCGGTTGTTTCTGCAACCCCCCCATTACTTTCCCTTCCGATTGCCTGGCTTCTTTTCTTTCCACCAAGAAAAGAAAAATCTTTTAAGAGCTAGAGGTTTTCAGCCTTTCTCCCCAGTTCGCCTGCAATTGTATGAATATTGCAAAAAACCCCATCGTGCAACATAAGGGGACTCGCTTCAGAGAATCGAAAGACGTAGATTGAACCCGGCCGTGAACTTTCACCCATCGGCGCCAGCTATAAAGGCTCACGATGCTCTGCAAGAGTAACCCTCAGGCTGGAAAATTCCGCCAGGCCCGCCCCTTACGCCGCGCCCCCTCGCTAGGCTCTGTGGGTCCCGCGATTCCGCCTCTCCTTCCACCTTGCCTGTCGGGTGTTCGGACGCAGCTGAGCCGCCCTCCTGCTCTCGCTACCACAGTACCATGCCAGGCCTGCTGCTAGGAGATGAGGCGCCTAATTTCCAGGCTGACACTACGCACGGCCCCATCCGCTTCCACGACTTTCTGGGCAACTCGTGAGTACGGGGGGCGACAGTGGTCGCTGAGCGAGGGCTGCGCTTAGTTGGGCTGCTCTACTCGCTGGCCTCGCTTAAGAGGACCGCCTTGCCACAGAGTGCCATGGATAGTTTGCTCCTTCTTTCGTTGGGTTTGGCGTAGAGCCGCTACCGCGGGCGGAGAAAAAGGCTACCAAGATAATCAACGGTGCTGGAGCAATTAAAAGGGCTGCAGCATCTTCGTGGAAACAGTGGATAACTGTCCTGGGTGGAGGGAGGGGATATCTTCCCTTAGCTCATTAGCTCCAAAGAGGGAAGAAGGCAAAGAAAATCTTTGACTCTACTCCCTCTTCGTTCTACCATCGCTTGCTTTACAAATAAGCAATCTAGATGCACCAGTTGTTGCTGAATTACACTCCTTAGCAACCCCAGGATAATGAAAGGAATACTTTTTTTTTAGATTTTTAATCCCACCCTTATTATATTTATAAATAACTCAAGGTGGTGAACATACCTAATATTCCTTCCTCCTCCTATTTTCTCAACAACCACCACCCTGTGAAGTGAGTTGGGCTGAGAGTGACTGGCCCAAAGTTACCCAGGAGGCTTCATGCCTAAGATAGGACTAGAACTCAAGAGTCTCCTGGTTTCTAGCCTGTGGCTTTAACCACTAGAACCAAACTTGGAGTGTTACTTGGAGCAGTACTTGAGAAAGGTCTGTAGTGCCCCAAGCTGCCCAACTCTACATGGAAAGGAACAAGAAAGGATAACAGCCAACTGTTATTTGCTGGTTGCTATTCTTTCATCCTCTCCCATCCCTAATTGATGCAAGGTGCCCAGCCCTGATTTACACATTTATATTACTTTATTGCGCCTTCATTAATCTATCTTCTGTTTTGCTTATAAGCTAGCATGAAAGGTGAAATATAAATAATTATAACAACAGAAGAATAAATTGGTTATTGAACTATGTATGATGTGAATGGAGTGGGCAGGTAATCTTACATCCTAAGGCTGGAACACAGAGTCCCATTTAAATTGGTTGGGCAGAAAGTTCAAACGAGAGAAAATCATTCACACGTTGCATAAGTTGGTTATTGTATTCATTGTCACAAAATGTGGCTTTCAAAAGAGTTAAGTAAATATAGCAATTAGCTCTAAATTCTCAGAAACCTTTTGAGTATCAGCTACTG